TGCAGTTTTGCTTCTTACAGAACCAAGACACCAGATTTGCTTCGATATAGAAGCAACCACCTGAAGTGCCTTTCATATCATCAAGATTTCCAGCCCAGTCAGTGTCGCAATAACCTGCAAGATTTACGTTCGTATCAGTAGAGTAAAATAGCCCATAGTCAGATGTACCTCCCACGTATTTAATGATATATTTGACTGCCTTCATCTGTGATTCTTTGGGAGCGGACTAATACCTAGCACAAAGTCCAATACTGAAACAAATGTCAGGTCTACTAGCAGTGAGACATAAGAGACTGTCAATCATACCTATGTAAAGAGTTTGATCAACAGATGTACCTTCATCATCTTTCGACACTTTTACATGCGTCCCATGGGAGTTTGAGGAGGTTTAGAATTTTCAAGACCAAACTTTTTGACAGGGTTCTTAGCATATTTACTTTGATGTAGAAGATACCATCTTTACCTTCTTTTACCTAGAGCCCGAGGAAGTATGAAAGTTCACCTACAAGACTCATCTCAAACTTGTACGGCATAAGTTTAACAAAATGATTGACCAGCTTCTTGGAGGTTGATCCAAAAATGATGTCGTCTACATATATCTGAACTACCAGTAGGTCTTCATCAGTTCGTAGGGAAAAGAATGTCTGATCTACTCCCCGTCTTTTAAATCCTTTCTCCAGAAGGTACATAGATGCTCATCATAGATGCTCTCACTTCTCTCTAGCTTTCTCTCTCTAGAACCAACATCCCCCTCCTTCCTCTCAATCACCATATATCCGATCACCACTACCAGATAGACTTCACCGGCATCCGTCATCGCCGGCGGCTAGCTGCCCGGTTCTGGGGGGCCTGCCCGCTTTCCCTCCACCCACCTTTCTCTTTCACCCCATTCCTACATGGCCTACTCCCCGAGCTATCAGATCCTGTCTCTCTCGTCACTCTCGACCGGTTCTCATTTGCAGCCCACTGGTGTGAACCATGGAAAATTCACCTCCTGGACGAACAACATCAAGAAAGTTATCATATCTGTAGTCCATTCTACCGCCCAATCGACCGACTTGCTTCATCTTCCTCGAGCAGAAAGCCCGTCGATACATGGCAGAACCCGTGGCGGCGTCTCACTACCTCCTAATGGTCCGCCTTCGGCTGTACCATTGCCGTCTTTGCTTGCAACAGCGCCGCCGCTCGTGGCTGTTACATACCCAGCAGGTCCCATCTCGTCTCTCGTCATTGGCACCCCAACCGGTCAGATTGCCGGCAATCACCACCCTTGATCGGTTCAATTTGGTTCTCTCCCAGCGAATTCTCTCTCCTACCCATCTATCACCTGTCTTCTCGCGGCGGCAGAAAACCCTCACCTCACCATCTCGAAACATGACTTCCCCTCTGCTCATCACGTGGGCCAACATACTGGGCCGCTCCCAAGGCCCAATTTAGAACCCTCATTACTTTGTGGGCAGCCAGCCTTGGCCCATTTCTCCTCCCTTCCTAACTTCCCAACC